GGGCAGTGTCACTGGCCCTCATATGTGGGATCCGAACCGGGGCCCTCTGGCATCCCAAGCGAGTTCTTAACCATCGCGCCACTCGGCCGGCCCGAGGTTGTGCATCTCTTGTGCTTTGTTGCCATTTGCAATTTGTCTTCTGTGAATTGTACATTCCATCTGCGGCCCCTTCAAAGTGCTCACCGAGGACCAGCCGTAGGTCTGTGAAAACAGCCCTTCTCTTGGAGAACACACTCAGGGTTCTACTGTTGAGTACCCTAATTCAACCAAAGGGAGCCCACTCAGGAAATTCAGCCCCCATCCGACTCGGACGAGAGTGGAAATCCCGTCCGTCCATTATCCAGAAGGCTGACTAATTTGGACACATCTGGGGGTATACACTGAGGGTTTGTCCAGAACAAAAGAGACTTTGACAATTGAGAAGGAGGTGACCAATGGGAAAACTACAGAATAAATTGGAATGATTAATAAACATCTACCATTTTAAAAGGCACAAGACTGCATTTTTAGAGATGGGTTCTATTTAACCCATCTAATCAAAAGTCAGGGAATTGACTGTTATTGAAATCATTCCAATCTATGAAAAAATACAGAAAACTCCCAAATTCATTTTTTTAAAAGGATTTAATTGGGGAACAGTGTGTTTTTCCAGGACCCATCAGCTCCAAGTCAAGTAGCTGTCTTCAATCTAGTTGTGGAGGGTGCAGCTCAGTGGCCCATGCGAGGATCAAACCGGCAACCTTGGTGTTATGAGCACTGCTCTCTAACAACCTGAGCTAACTGGCCGCCCCCCAAATTCATTTTTTTAAAGTCAGTATTACATTAGTGCTAAAAGTCTTTTTAAAACAGTGAGGGAAAGAAAGGAACAAGAAACTTTATTTACAAATAGTAATGTAAACAATTCAAAGAAAATACAGTAAAACCTTGGATTGTGAGTAACGTGGTTTGCAAGTGTTCTGCAAGATGAGCAAACATTTCTAATACCTTTTAACGTGGTAAACAAGCGATGTCTTGCAATACAAGTAGTTTGTTTCCAGAACAAATTATGCTCGCAAACCAAGGTATTACTGTATCGTCATATTGAATACAACACAGGGTGTTAAGAAAACAAGAAAACATGAACTAGTAGAACTTATTATAAATGCAAGAACAGCTTAGCTTAGGAATTCTATCAACAATTTATTACATCAACAAATAAAGGAGAAAGCACCAGTTTTTTGTCAAGGGATACATACAATTGAATATCCATGCCTTATTTTTAAAAAACTGTAAAATAAGAAGCAATCTACCTTAATATGATAAAGGCTACCTTAAAACAACATCAGAAATCTGCATGATTCTGAAAAAAAATCAGAAACAAGATGGGAATTCTCACTATCACAACTATTATTCACCATTTGTTTGGCAATTCTACCTAATGGAACAAGTCAACGAAATAAAACAAACAGTGTATCTATGGGAAAAAGAGGCAAAATTATCTTTATTGTAGGATAATATAGTGATATGCATTGAACACTCAAGACACCGGATAAAAATTAGAATTTGCAACAGTTAAAACTGAGGTCCTCAGGGTGGGCCCTCATCCAATATGACTGTGCCCTTATTAAAAGGGGACATGCGGAGACACACATGCAGACAGGCACAACGCCATGTGACGATGGAGGCAGGTAACCAAGTGATGCTTCTACAAACCAAGGACAGCAAAGACCTCTGGCAACCAGTAAAGGCCTGGGACAGGCCCGGGACAGGTCCCCCACAAACCAGGGGACAGGCCTGGGAAGGTCTTCCCCACAGACCAGGCGACAGGCCTGGGGCGGTCCTCCCCACAGACTAGGGGACAGGCCTGGGAAGGTCCTCCCCACAGACCAGGCGACAGGCCTGGGAAGGTCCTCCCCACAGCCTGAGAAGGAGCCTGCCCTGCCGACACCTTGACCATGGACTCCCAGCCTCCACACAGTGAGAGAATAAATGTCTGCTGCCCAGGCCACCAGGTCGGAGGGACTTTGCTTCGACAGCCAAGGACACTGACCCATGAGGGACACAGTGACCTTAGCAGAGGGAGGCAAGCCCCCCAGATGGGACACCAACCAGTGCCTTTCCTTCCCTGGTGTCACACCCCAGGCACCATGGTGTTTGGCCCAGTTCACCAGCCATTGGAAAGAAAACGCATTTAATCCTCTACCTCAAATCAGTATAAAAATAATGGCAGTATGTTCTAAAGGGCAAAGGGCAAAACAAAGTTTTTAATAGGAAAAAAAAAGTATGACTTTATTTGCATAATTTTAGGGGAGGGTGACCCGTCTAAGCAAGGCAGGAAATCCAAGACGCAAAGATTCAACTGTAAACAAATTTATAATCCTTGATGGCAAAATAAGATATATTACTATTGAAGTCAAAAGACAAATGAAGGGAAAACACTTGCCACTCGTGGGAACAGACACAGTTTAATTCTCCACATGCACAAAGATTTCTAGCGAATTGGAAAAACAAAGGACAAATGGGTAATTCACCAAAGTGCAGGCACAAGCATGAATATAAAAGATGCTCACACCCTCTAACACTGAGAAGCTGCAAATCAAAACAAAAAGGAAACACCAAAGCTTTAAACGGCCGATCACGTCTGCTCCTGGCATGCAAAGCCAGGAGGCCCCGCGCGACGCTGGGGACGCAGACACTGACCATCCAGAAAGGAAGTGGGCAGCACCTGAGAAAAGCTGAGGCCGGGCGCGCCCCTGGCCCAACTCTGTGGCTCCTCGAAGCTGTGGTTGCACAGAAAACCTTCACTCTGTAAGGACAGGTGTGCAGGAGTGCTTACTCCAACCTTTCGTACCAGCCCCCAACCGAAACAACCAGAATGTGGATAAACCAGAGAGAGTGGAATAAACTCTAGCATCTCATGTGGTGGAAAATTATACACTATTGAAACAGAAGGAGTCAAGTCTGTGGGTATGGACTTGAAGGATTATCTGTCACAGAATCAAATTTAAGAAGCCATTTGCAGTGTAATGTGTATAGTATTGTC